CCCCCTCCCCCCCTTCTTGTTCTCCCCCCAGGGCCAAAAGAAGAAGCCGCAGCGCAAGATTGAGCGCGAGCCGGACTCAAGCGACGTGCGGCGCCGCGGCCCTCCTTCTTCCCTGGCCCCTGCTTCTGCCCTCCCCCCACCTTCCGGGAGGTCAGTAACCGCCGCCGAGGCCTTCCGCCCCGCAAATCGCCGCTTCTTAGCGGCCGCCGCACTGACCGCCACCAGAGCGGGCCTACACACCGGCTCCCTCCCTCCCTTTACTCTTTTCACCCTCCCTCCTTCTCCCATTCCCCTCCTTCCCCTGCCCTCAGGACGAGGCGTTCTCTGCGGCCGCAAAGAAGCCGCCGCCGCCGAAGAAGGCGGCGAGCAAGGAGAAGAAGCCGCCCCCCGTCAAGAAGGCGGCGAGCAAGGAGAAGAAGCCGCCCCCCGTCAAGAAGGCGGCCAGCAAGGAGAAGGCGACGGCCAGCAAGCAACAAGCCAACAAGCCGCCCCCGGACTCGTCTGACGAGGAGGACCAGCCCCTCTCGCAGAGAAAGCAAAAGTGACACGCGAGCCAGTACGGACAGTCCTCCCGCCTCCCGCGAGACGCGGCTCGAGCGGAGAGCCCAGAGGCGGCTGAGGTACGTGGCGCGTGACTACCGACACCTACACAGGCGACAGCGCGGATGTTCGCGCCAGGTGCGCGCGACATACCACCGATCGAGGAAAGTTGTCAGGGCACAGCGCTATCAGCGGCGAGCGGAAGGGCCCCGGGGGGGGGGGGGGGAGCATGTACGTGTGTCGTGTGTGCACTCGCGGTGTCGCGGACCGCGCCGAGCGTCCGAGCGTGAGCGCGAGACCCCGCGCCTCCGGGCTCCGCGCCTTCGAACGAGTTCGCGCGCACCGGCACACCAAGGACCAAGCCGCATAAGTGACACTGAAAAAGTGATCAGAGACCCACAAATGCACATGTCGGTCTCGGATGTGCAAGCACTGGTTGGGTAGTAGTCTAAGTTCTGAGCCTCGAGGCTGAGCGGGTCTAAGTGTGCTCTGGCACGCTGGGGTGCTTGCGCGGTCTAAGATCAGCGGGAGCCTCCTACATCGGCTAAGTCGGCCGTGGCACGGCCTGGGGCCAGGAGGCTCCCACCGTGATCAACGATACGGCGCAGCCCCCAAATTTTCTTCGCCTGCGGCGGGCGGTCGATCCTCTTCATGCTTAGCAATCGCCGCCTCAGCATCCTCCTCTTCCGATTTTCGTTGCTGCTCCTTCATTCTTGAGCGACGTCTAGCCAAACAGTTCCCACATGACACGAAGCTCCTCAAGCTTAATCAAACGTGTGACGGTGAAGCCTGTGTGTGCTGGTCCTCTTTGAACGATCCGCGCGTGAGGTAGCATAGGGCCTTGTTGGCAGCAGCCAGCTTGTTGCGCTGCTTCGTTGCGATGAGCTGATCGGGATCGCAGAAGCGCATGCCAAGCACCGCCTTGATCTTGTAGCAGAACGCCGGCACGACCGCATCGTCCGCACCGCCATCGGCAAGCCGCGCTCGCCCCTCGCCGCTGCGCCGCAGCCGCGTTTTTTTTGGCACGCGTAGCGGCAGCGCGCACATGGTACGGTGCGGGTACTTGAGCAGGCGGTGCGCGCCGCAAGTAGCGCACTGGCCCTGGGAGTAGGCGTGCGCGGCATATATATATGTACCTGGGACGCGTCCAGGTATTTTTCGGGTAAACCTGGACTTTTGCAGGTATACCCGGGTTTTACCCGGAGTTGGCCTATGTCGTCTAAGTTCAGGCCCCCCGACATACAGCGTCTAAGTCTGAGCCCGGCTCCGTGCGGGGGCTAAGTTGAGCGCTCGCTCACTGCATAAGTTGAGCGCTCGCTCGCTGCAGAGGCTAAGTGTAGAGCGACCCTCTAGCCCTACTACCCAACCATGCAAGCTGCAAAAAACGCGACGAGCGCGAACGCCAAACGCTGCGGGCGGGGGGCGGCACCGCCCCTCCGGCGTCCGGGCTGGCGCGTGGCGGGGCTGGGACCGCACTAGGAGCGGGCTCCGCCCCCCAGAGAGCAGAGTGCAGAGAGGCCAAACCGGTAACCGGAAAGGGAAACCGCGTCACGCACGCCCCCGTGATCTTCTACTCGTGCGGGCTGCGGCTACGTGAAAACCTCTGGGGGCTGCCTCGGATTGGCTGCTGGCAGTGGCACTCTCGAGGCTATGCCTACACAGCCTCGCGCGCATGCGCAGTCAAGAGGGACCACGCACCTTCTCAGGACAGCACCGGCGCCTCTCTTGTGGACCGGCAAACGTGGTGGTCTCGTGTCACCGATGTGGGACCAGTGCGGCATCGCGCCATCGATAGCTCTGAACTGCGCCTCACCACTGACCGGGAAGGCCGCCAAGTGGGCCAGCACCGGTCGCACATTGTGGCAGCAGTCACCAGTGCGTGTCTGATAGCTAGAGCAGCAGCGTCAGGGTCGCAGGGTCGGATCGTGTCAAGCCTCTCGCCCGGCCGGCCGTGTGCAGACGTCGGCCTGTCTGCTGTCTGGAGTGCGATCTGTCGGCGCGGTCAGTACGACCGATCAGGTCGGAGTTTTCTGATGGTTGGAGGGTCTATCTGTATGTACTCCTCGAGATCTCTCCAAATCTGCCCTCTGATCAACCGTGATCATTCGGGAAGTCGGTGCTAACGGAGACTAACGGAGCCGGAGCCCCGTTTCCGCACACTCGCACTAATCCCGCGCCCCGGTTTTTTCGCCAGCCTAGTGCGTTCGGTTGATTGAGGAACCCCTCGAGTTAGCTGCTTAGTCGCGTGCGCGTATGCTCGCTGTCGTTGCAGTCTCTGGAGGCTGCGCCGCGGCTCCCGAGCGGCGCGTGACCCGTGCCAGTTTTGGTAAGGTTTTGCGCACCCTCTCAACTGACTCCCTGAGGCAGGGTGGCGCGGGTGCGGGGTGGCTCGGCAGCTCGGCGGGAGGCCTCCGACCCGGCTACCTTGTGCTGTTGAAGTTGCTGCAGGAGACGCCGATGACGATGGCGCTGTCCTCGCGGCTGGCCAGCGTCCGGGCTCGCTGGCGCGCCGCCCGGGATAGCACTGACAGTCTGCCGGCGCAGAGGGCGCATTCGAATGCGCCCGCCGCGCCGGCAGACTGTTGGACGGCCACAGTCGCGAAAGTGGGGTGAAATCCGTGCGGCGCAGTGGCAGCGGTGGCCAGGCAGCCCCTCTCGGGGCCGCGTTGCGCAGGCGCGCCGCGCCATGAGCGGCGACCGTGGTGAGAACGCGATGTGCCACTTGCTCTCACTTAGCAGCTAACTATGATAGAACAAGTTTGAAAACCTGAGCGAAAAAACCGGGGGTCGGGATTAGTGCGTGGTCACTGCTCTCTGCTGCGCGGCGGCGGCCGGCGCACGGTGCCTCCGGGGGCCCCCGCCTCCCCCCAGAGGTGAAACGGTGTTTGTTGCAGTCGGTGTATCGCATCATTCATCACATTGACAGTAGTAGAAGTGTGTAATCCATCCGTGCTCCGCATCCCCTCCCACTGGTCCTCTCCACAGACAAGTGTCCTCTCCAACGTCCTCGTAGCTCGATACCGCGCGCCCTCCGGCCGCGTGGCGGGTGCGCCCCGGTGCGCCCCCCGCCTCCTCCCTCTCTCCTCCCTCTCTCCTCTCCGCGCGTGCCGCCGCGCGCTCTAATACCGGTAGGTGGTCGGCTTGTACGGGCCAGACTTCTTGACGCCGATGTAGTCGGCCTGCTCGGTGCTCAGCTCGGTGAGGTGGGCGCCGAGCTGGCCGAGGTGGAGGCGGGCGACCTTCTCGTCGAGCTCCTTGGGGAGGAGGTAGACCTGGTTCTGGTACTTTGACTTGGCCTTGTCCTTGCCCGCCTCGACGTACGCCTTGCGCAGCTCGAGCTGCGCGAGCGTCTGGTTGGTGAACGAGTTGGACATGACGAAGGACGGGTGGCCCGTCGCGCAGCCGAGGTTGAGGAGGCGGCCCTCGGCGAGGACGATGACGCCGTGGCCGTCGGGGAAGGTGTACTTGTCGCACTGCGGCTTGATGTTCATCCGCGTCGTCGCCTTCTCCAGCTGCTCCATCTGGATCTCGTTGTCAAAGTGGCCGATGTTGCCGACGATGGCGTTGTTCTTCATCTTCTTCATGTGCTCGAGGGTGATGATGTCCTTGTTGCCGGTGGTGGTGATGAAGACGTCCGCCTCCGAGATCAGGTCCTCCATCGTCACCACCTGGTACCCCTCCATGCACGCCTGCAGCGCGCAGATCGGGTCGATCTCCGTCACGTACGTGATCGCGTTCTGCGCGCGCATCGACGCGGCCGAGCCCTTGCCGACGTCGCCAAAGCCGCAGATGACGACCTTCTTGCCCGAGAGCATGACGTCGGTCGCGCGCATGATGCCGTCGGGCAGCGAGTGCCGGCAGCCGTACACGTTGTCGAACTTGGACTTGGTGACGCAGTCGTTGACGTTGATGGCCGGGAAGAGCAGCTCGCCCTTGTCCGCCATCGCGATGAGGCGGTGGACGCCGGTGGTGGTCTCCTCGGAGACGCCGACCATGCGCTGGACCATGCGCGTGAAGCGGGTCGGGTCCTTGGCGATCGAGTTCTTGATCGTCGCGAGCACGCACTTGAACTCGGCGTTGTCGGTCGAGGCCGGGTCGGGCAGCGACTTGTCCTTGGCAAACTGCTCCTCGAACTTCTTGCCCTCGTGGAGGAGGAGGGTGGCGTCGCCGCCGTCGTCGACGATCTGGTCCATGCCCTCGCCGTCCGGCCAGGTGAGCGCCTTGTCCGTGCACCACCAGTACTCCTCCAGCGTCTCGCCCTTCCACGCAAAGATGTTGGCGGTGCCCGCGCGCACGCACGCCGACGCCGCGTGGTCCTGGGTCGAGAAGATGTTGCACGAGCACCAGCGGACGTCCGCGCCGAGCGCCTCGAGCGTCTCGGCGAGCACGGCGGTCTGGATGGTCATGTGGAGCGAGCCCATCACGCGCACGCCTGGGGGAGGCCCGGGCGGAGGCCGGGGTGAGGCGCGGGCGCGCGGGGAGGGCGCCGGCTCGAGGGGCGGAGGAGCGGGGCGGAGGAGGAGGGAGGCGGAGCGGAGGGAGGAGGGAGGAGGGAGGCGCGCGCGCACCGGCGAGGGGCTGCGCCGGGCCGAACTCCTTGCGCGCCGCCATCAGGCCGGGCATCTCGTGCTCGGCAATGTCGAGCTCCTTGCGGCCGAAGTCGGCGAGCGACATGTCGGCGACCTTGAAGTCGCCCGAGGCCTCAACGTTCTTGGGCATGGTTGTTGGAGAGTGGTTGTCTGCGCGGGAGGGGGAGGGGGGGGTGAGGGGCTGGGGGCTGGGGGGCGGCCCGTGGAGCGTGCGAGAGAAGGCGAGCGCGAGAGTGTGGCGCGGCGCGGAGGTGCGGGGAGGTGTGGGCTGGAGTTGCAAGTCGAGTCGGCCGTCACGGGAGGCTGCACGAGTGCGTGTTGCGTGGTTGGGCGGGCGGCGGGCGGGCGCGCAAGGGAGCCACAGCTCGCGTCGGCTTTGCGAGAGCGGTACGAGCACCTGTGGAGCGTGGCGTTCGAAGAACTTCGTGGCGAATATCTGCCCGGATGCGCCGAAATGTCATCTTTTGATTTTGGTTTTCTCCTGCGCGTGTGCGCTCGCGGGACTCTCCGGCTCCATCGGCCCCCCGCCCCCCGGCCGGGGATGCGCGTTTTTCGCTCATTCGTTCCAATTAGGGGCGGTTTCCCGCTCCTCTATCCTTCCCCTTCACCGCTTCAGCTCATCCGTCATTGCTCCGCCGCGCCTCGCCGAGGTAAAGCCGAAGCTAAGAAAAAAGAAACCTTTTCCTAGCCCGCATCGCCATGACCCTCAGCACACGCAACAACAAATGCGTCCACAGGAACACAACCCGGGACATTTTTCATCTCGGTTCTCGCTCTCTCCAATCTCGTGGATGCATGGGGCCACTCGCAAGTCTACACAAGGAAGTGAGAGAGAGCGCCTCCTTATCAGCTGGTCGGCCGCCATGTGGGCCTCCGGGCCTGCTGCGGCGGCGCGGCCGGTTGAGGCCGGGCTCGGCCCGGCCCGCGACGGCTGGCCGCCGACGAGCGCGCTCGCGCTGCTCGTCAAGATGGCGGCGGTGGCGATTGCGGCGACAAAAGTTCAGGCGTACAGCGCTCAGGCGCCTGTCGTCTTTCGTCTTTTGTCGCATTTCGCACACCCGCGCGCTCCGCGAGGGCATGACCATGAGCCTTCCGCGATTCGATCCTGCAGCCAAAAGCTGCTCGCTCGAACCGCGGCCGACTCTGCCATCGCGGCCGCAGCTGTTGAGCTCTTCGCAGAAGACTGGTGCCTCATATGCTGCCTCCCTGCGGATGCTACTGGCGAGATTGGCGGTCCGCTGTACTACAAGGATGTGCTGACTTGATTCTGAAAGGAAAAAAGAAATGGGCCAACCTCGACGCGCAGCACTTCGTGTTGGCCAGTCGAGAAATTGAGAGTGTGACTAGGAGGGTGGGACGCTGGGGATTCTCAAAGGTATACCCTTGGAATGGCCGGATCCAGCCTTAAAAGTACGAGATCGCGCGCGCTTCGCGCGCTGCACCGCCTATTCTCCGCGGCTGTGTGACGACGCGTGCCGTGTACCAGCAGAGTTGGGCGCGCGCGGCGCGACGGCGCCCGCGAGGGAAGGCGCGGGTGCAGCGGCCGCCGGCGGCCGTACCGCCCGCCAGCCGGCGCAGCAGCGGCCAACGCAGCGGCCGCCGGCGCAGCAGCCAGATCAGCCGGTGCGCGCCTTGCGAGGCGAGTACTGCCGCCCGGCAGCCTTGAGGCGGCCGGGCGGCAGTACTCGTTCGAACTTTGCGAGCCGTGCGCGCGCCGAGGCGCCCGCGGCGCGCGCCCGCCCGGCTGCCAGTAGGAGGCGGCGCAATATGGCCTATAGTACAGCCCTTGAGGAGGAGGAAGAGGCTGGCTGGCAGTGCTGTATGCCGCCGGGGGCAGTTTTTGGGTGCTGTCCCCATCCCAGGGGGCTGCAGAAGGCGTCCGCAGCCGGGACAACCCGCCCCCCCAGCCGAGGCCGGTCGAAGCCCACTTGAGTGCAGCCATGAGGAGTCCTCTTGGTGCTCCTGGCGGCCGTTGGAATGGCGAGCGCGCCCCGAGGGGGGGGGGGGGGTCTTGCTTGCTCCACACCGAGCGCCATCGGTCCGGACCGGTGCACTCACCGAGGGGTGGCCTGCACAAGGTCTGAGCCGCGGGCGCTCGGCGCCAAGTGCAGTGTCACGCTCGCGCTGGAGCGGGACACAATGGGAAACCCTCGTTTCCTATGAACTCGGTCCCCCAACGGAAGAGGCCTCGCTCCTATTGGAACTGGCCAACATCAGATTTGCCTCGTGCGTCCCTTTTTGAGTCGTCAAGCTATTTTCTTTTGGGTCCTGTGGGCACCCTACCTCGAATTCTTCTACCCCCGCGACCCCACGAACGAATGTGACAGGACCATCGGGTCCTTCAGCCTCCAAAGCGGGATCACCCGAGAGCAGCTGAGCCTGCCGCTGGCCTCGCCTCCCTCTCCTTCAGGCATTCGTGGCATCCGATGGGTCGCCCAGAGTATCGACCTCTGGCTTGTCAGCCGGTCACTTGATGACACCATGAAGTACAGCGATCGCCATCTCGCTGGCCTCTTCGCAGGCCCCCCCGACCGCGTCGAACTCATCGGCGCGGGCTCTCTCGGCTACGGGACCGGCCCCAGCTTCGGCTGAGGGCTAACAAGCTGCCGAGCCCAAATCACTGTGAGAGTCGTGATTTCTTGTTGGTCTTTAAAAATCTCTCTCTCTCACAAGGACTCTCAAGTCTCAAGCAACCTGGTCGACACCGGCTGCCTCCGCAATCGCGCTCAGTAGCGCTCCCGGGGCTGTCTCAAGCGAGTTGTCGTTCAAACTCATCTCGATTGAGCCGGCAAAACGGCTCGTCAAAAGCTCGCCCCCTCGTGGGAAGCTTCTCCCCGGGGTGCCATGTGGACATCACAGACGGAGCTTTTGACGGAGCGTTGGTGCGACTCAGATCCGAAGGCGACCCAAGTCTTGACGCGAGCCACGCACGCCGCCGCGAGAGCGCAAGCGGCAGTGTACCCTTTGCATGCGTAGGCTGTGAGAAAGCGGGCGGGGATGAGCAAATGCGGACAAAATTGATGGTGACGACAAAGATGGCGGTGGCGATTGGGATGGTGAGTTGGTGCCGTGAACGGCATCAGAAATTCACGGTTGATCCAGAGCATAGCGGCGGCGCCGGCGTATGCCACGAAGTCCATGAGCACGAGGACTGCAGTAAGGACGGTGTCGAGTGCGACGGCGGCCATGTCATCGCGCTGGGGCGTGGCGGGTTTGTCCGCCATGGCCTGGTGGGCGGTTTGCACCTCACCGGTTGTACCACGTTTGAGCGCGGAGGCTCAGAGCCGGAGGATGGCTGGCTGACTGTAGCGCGCCGACTAAGGGACGTCCACACACGTGACACACGATTGTGGCACTGAGGGTGTGATACTGGAGTATCGACATTCGTGGGGCACGGCGCAGGATGCGCCGTGCTAGTACACCGTATGTGATTTGCCGCACTGCAAGCGAGCACTGCACTGCAGTGCTCGCTCGCACTGCGGCGCTGCGCCACGGCGGCGAAGCATGTCTGGACTTCAAGGACAACGCTTCTCCGCTGCTCGAGGCTTGCGGCAAGGTCCAGGCACCAGGGACCAGGCCGACCACACGGACGGAGCACCCGAGGCAGCTGGCGTGGCCTCACTCATGACCTGTGCTACCCAACTTGAGAATCGTGCTTTTTGTGAGTTTCTTCCGTGTTAGGTTGGATTGTGCTTGGGTGAGGTTGTTCCGAGTGAGGTCAGGGCGTCGGCGCGAAGGTGAGTCTCGACCGCCGCCGCTCACGCCAGCGGACGGCCACCATCGGTGTTTTTGTTTGGCTTCGCCCGTCCAAGGCGTGCGCCATGCGCTCGCCGGCATCGAACAACCTCACCCAAACAACCCAACCTAACAAAACAAACTCACCCAAAATCACGAGTCACAAGTTGGGACCCTCCCTCGGGTTACACCAATCCTCGCTACCCAATGCGACCAAAGGATATCCACCTCGAGACCTCTCGGTCGCCAGATGCGTGCACAGCTCGTTCAGCTTCCACGAAAATCTAACTCAGGTCCACGTCGAGTACCCACAGCACACACCCGCGCGACTCACGCAAAGCACCGCGCGCACGCTGTTGCGGAGGACTGAGATCTCTGCCATCTCACCCAGCCCACACCTCCCCGCACCTCCGCGCCGCGCCACACTCTCGCGCTCGCCTTCTCTCGCACGCTCCACGGGCCGCCCCCCAGCCCCCAGCCCCTCACCCCCCCCTCCCCCTCCCGCGCAGACAACCACTCTCCAACAACCATGCCCAAGAACGTTGAGGCCTCGGGCGACTTCAAGGTCGCCGACATGTCGCTCGCCGACTTCGGCCGCAAGGAGCTCGACATTGCCGAGCACGAGATGCCCGGCCTGATGGCGGCGCGCAAGGAGTTCGGCCCGGCGCAGCCCCTCGCCGGTGCGCGCGCGCCTCCCTCCTCCCTCCTCCCTCCGCTCCGCCTCCCTCCTCCTCCGCCCCGCTCCTCCGCCCCTCGAGCCGGCGCCCTCCCCGCGCGCCCGCGCCTCACCCCGGCCTCCGCCCGGGCCTCCCCCAGGCGTGCGCGTGATGGGCTCGCTCCACATGACCATCCAGACCGCCGTGCTCGCCGAGACGCTCGAGGCGCTCGGCGCGGACGTCCGCTGGTGCTCGTGCAACATCTTCTCGACCCAGGACCACGCGGCGTCGGCGTGCGTGCGCGCGGGCACCGCCAACATCTTTGCGTGGAAGGGCGAGACGCTGGAGGAGTACTGGTGGTGCACGGACAAGGCGCTCACCTGGCCGGACGGCGAGGGCATGGACCAGATCGTCGACGACGGCGGCGACGCCACCCTCCTCCTCCACGAGGGCAAGAAGTTCGAGGAGCAGTTTGCCAAGGACAAGTCGCTGCCCGACCCGGCCTCGACCGACAACGCCGAGTTCAAGTGCGTGCTCGCGACGATCAAGAACTCGATCGCCAAGGACCCGACCCGCTTCACGCGCATGGTCCAGCGCATGGTCGGCGTCTCCGAGGAGACCACCACCGGCGTCCACCGCCTCATCGCGATGGCGGACAAGGGCGAGCTGCTCTTCCCGGCCATCAACGTCAACGACTGCGTCACCAAGTCCAAGTTCGACAACGTGTACGGCTGCCGGCACTCGCTGCCCGACGGCATCATGCGCGCGACCGACGTCATGCTCTCGGGCAAGAAGGTCGTCATCTGCGGCTTTGGCGACGTCGGCAAGGGCTCGGCCGCGTCGATGCGCGCGCAGAACGCGATCACGTACGTGACGGAGATCGACCCGATCTGCGCGCTGCAGGCGTGCATGGAGGGGTACCAGGTGGTGACGATGGAGGACCTGATCTCGGAGGCGGACGTCTTCATCACCACCACCGGCAACAAGGACATCATCACCCTCGAGCACATGAAGAAGATGAAGAACAACGCCATCGTCGGCAACATCGGCCACTTTGACAACGAGATCCAGATGGAGCAGCTGGAGAAGGCGACGACGCGGATGAACATCAAGCCGCAGTGCGACAAGTACACCTTCCCCGACGGCCACGGCGTCATCGTCCTCGCCGAGGGCCGCCTCCTCAACCTCGGCTGCGCGACGGGCCACCCGTCCTTCGTCATGTCCAACTCGTTCACCAACCAGACGCTCGCGCAGCTCGAGCTGCGCAAGGCGTACGTCGAGGCGGGCAAGGACAAGGCCAAGTCAAAGTACCAGAACCAGGTCTACCTCCTCCCCAAGGAGCTCGACGAGAAGGTCGCCCGCCTCCACCTCGGCCAGCTCGGCGCCCACCTCACCGAGCTGAGCACCGAGCAGGCCGACTACATCGGCGTCAAGAAGTCTGGCCCGTACAAGCCGACCACCTACCGGTATTAGAGCGTGCTGTGTTAGTTACGAGATACATGTACATGTGCATGGTCGTTGAAAAAAAACGTGCGACACTCTCGCGAAACCACATGCACATATGTAAAGCCGTAAGTGCGCGCTCTCTGCACTATCTGGCTTCGCGCCTTTTTGTGTTTTCTCGCGTGTCGCCGCGAGAGCGGAGAGGTCGCTCTCTTGACCAATGCGGGCCCGGCCACACGCTAACGCTCGTGCTCCGCTCGCCGTCGCGCCTCCTCTCTGGGTGCACTCCTCCGCTCCGCCTCGCGCCGCCGTGCACTAGAGCCGCCCGAAGCGGCGCTCGAGAACCGCCTCTCGCTTGGCCTCGACCGCCTTCTTGCCGCCCGCGCGCCCGGCGTCGGCTGCGGCCTCGCGCGTCCCCTCCGCCGCCG